ATGCATGAGACTACTAATTTTTGATTCCTTGACTTGAGGGGTTCCTTCATGACTTATACATAGTTTCTCCAAAATTTCATATGTGGTTGTACAAGTGGAGACTCTATTGTACTCATTTAGAGTAAGTCCACAAATCAAGGCATTCATAGCCTTAACATTGAGAGTAGCCAAATGCCTTTCATCCTCAGTCATGTTACGACTAGGTTTTTCAACATATTCTTTTTCAATAGTATCTAGGATATCAATATCAATGCATCTTAAGTAAATGTGCATCCTAGATTTTCAATATGCAAAATTATTGCCATTAAACAAAGGAGGCCTAGAAATTGATTAACCTTCAAGAGCATGCTCATTCATGTTTGAATCCATATGTGATCTTTACTCTAAGGTGATTAAATCATGAATAAATAGAGACCAAGTTCTGAGACCAAATGAAATTACCCTAGGGGGGGGATGAATAGGGTAATTAAACAATAATGTGCAACTAATAAAAATTCAATTCAATTTTAGACACAAATAAAGAAATAAGGCAATAATTAAAAAGAGAGTTAGAGATAGGTAGCCAAATGAGACGCCGATGTGTTCACGAGGTTCGGTCCTCTCGACCTATATCCCCGTTCACCTCTCCCGATAGTAATTCACTACACAACCTAGTTTGGAAGATGGAACTTCTTCATAATGATCTCCCCGAGATCGAACACTCCACACAATGATCTCCTCGAGATCAAGCTCTCCACGAAATTCAAGAAGAAAGAAAAGAATCTCGCTTACAACAATCCTATGGCAAGGATCAAGAGATGAACAATAGACGCTCAGGGGTTTGTCAGATGTGAAAGTGAAAACTGAAACAATTTAGGACTTGAGAAAGAATGAAAGTTTAAGCTTGAAGTCTCAAAAACAAAACTCAAGTATTTCTCTTGTTTTTCTTAGTTTTTTTTTCATGAATGAAAACCAGAGGACTATAAATAGTTTCTCAACTTAGAACCCAAAGTCCAAGGAAAAACCAAGAAATCAAACAAATCCCATAAAATCAGAAAGTCTGGAAAACTATCCGTTCCTATTGACAGTGCGATCAGTCGACTGATGGTGAAAATCGTTCGACCGGTCTGTCGACCGTTGGCAGACTGAAAAAACAGAAATGAACTATCAATTAACTGATAGTGTGTTATCGGTCGACTGATAAGTGCTTATCGGTTGACTGATAAGTATGTATCAATCGACTGATAGAAAGCCGACTGCAGATGCTGAAAAATCCTACTGGTCAGTCGATTGATAAGCTGATATTCTGATACGTTGATTTTTCCAGAACAACTGATTTTGTAAATTTAATTTAAAATATTAAATTAACTTCAAAAATAGTAAAACTTGAAAAAATACTTATATATATATGAAAATAGATATGTTAGAGAAAGATTTTCTAAAATAGAACTTTGTATTTGTTAATACTTATCAATTTGTAAAAACCATTAAAAATACGAATGTGTGTGTTCGATCCCCAATTTGCTTCAAGAGTTATCTACTTTAATTCTTACCTACATTATGATCTAGAGAGAAGTCAAAAATGCAAATACCACTTACAATTGAGTATAATACTTAAGTATCAATATTCACTAGAAATTTGTTGATGAAGCTCTTCTTGACTATATGCTTGAACGCTCTTTATAAGTAGATATATGCTTGAGTCGATCTTTGAGCGTTTTGAGGCTTTTTCATCAACTTACCTCCACCTCCACGGATATCATTGTTACGGTGCAAAATCTATCCATCCTCTAATTATGACACTACATTGCTTGATAAATACTACATGCATAATATCACTTAATAATCAATTAGCACCAATGATGGGGTTTGTAAATCATCATCAAAACATGAGACGTAACAGTTTAAAATTTTTCATAAATAATCTTGAGAATCCAAGTATCTATTATTAGAATAATCTTAAGAACCCATTAGAATTTCAATCTAATTATTAGAAAAAAATTAAACAAAAACGGGAAGAATTCAAGATAATATTTCAAGTAATTTGTGTAAATGATTTGTTTAGTGTTTGGAATTCGCAAAGAATATTTTTATAATAGGAAAGTTTTTAATTTTATATATCTTTACATGTTATATGTTTTTAATGGTATCTTGTTTTCTATTAATATTTTAAAGGGAGTCATAGGTGACCCAATAACCCCATTTTCTAAAAATCAATAAAAGCATGATATCAAATTGATAAATAACAAAAAATTTGACTAATTCATTAATAATATTTTAATAGTAAGACTAATCCATCAGCTCTAAATATAATTACTTATTTGATTTAGGGTTAATTTTATAAAATCATCATCATCAACTCCCCACAAACCAAAATTGTTTAATTTGATTAAAAATTCCCTCAAGTTTGGGCATATGATAAATAGATATTCCCACTCAACTTTAAAAATTAGAGAAATGGATTGTCTCACAAAACACTCCTAGTCTTTCACACTTTTCTCATTCAAAATATAAAATACCCGAAACACCATTTTGAAAGTCAACTCATTCAGTTACAAAGAAACCCTTGACTGTCAAAATAAATTAATAAATTAATAAATAAATAAAAGATATAGATCAATTTATAATGCTTTTTTCCCTCTTTCTCTTATCCTAAAAAATCAGAGCACTTTTTTATGATTAGGTGTACTATGGTCATTTTTTGATCACCTCTGTATTATGTGACATGCTAGACTTAATAGTGTTATCTTTCAAAGCATAAAGTGAGAATAACACATGGGGGTTTCTAGAATTTTCGAACTTGAGGAGAATTATCTACAATAGGCTCAAACTTGAAAGTGTTACTCAAATTAAAATAATTGAGGGAGGTTTTCTGAGACCCACCTCATATTTAAGGGTCAAGTGAGAAAAGTTCAGGAGACTATCTCAAACTTTCATTAAATACAATATACTGAAACTTGAGGGGTTTTGTCAAATCAAAATAGCTTTTTTAGAGTGTTTTTTTTTGGGGTTGGGGAGGGGGGGTTGATGTTGTTTGAGACACCCTATAATTAAGAGGTGGGGTGGGGTGGGGTGGGGGGGGGCGGGAGGGGTTCTAAAATTAACCCATTGTTTTCATATAGAGAGGTTCTCTACATGACTTGTTTCTTTAATTTTTATATTTAAATATCTCATTATGAGATTTTTTACTGTATATGGATTTAAATCCGATAAGGATTGCAAAATATTTGATTATTAGAATTTTCTGTTTATGGATGGTTTTAATTTGATGAGAATTCTTAGATGCATTTAAGATTAGGTGCCTACGTGTTATTTTTTGATAGGATAGAGGGACAAGTGCATACTTATTATACGACACATGTTAATTTTTTATGCTTTAGGAGTTTCACCAATTTCTGTTTATATATAGAAGAGGGATATAAAAACCCTCTTAATTGTGGGGCTTATTATATTAACCAATTTTATTTTTCCACCTATACAATTGTAGGCATTCTCTATAATTTAGAATGTAGAGGATCACTTCTTATAATACCTAGCTATAAAGGTAACTAAATTTTGTCTATCAGGTTTACTGGAATATAGAGACCTATTTGGGTTGTAGGTAAATGTGAATAAATGGGGGGTTTATAAGAAAAATCGCCTTTTTCTTTTTTATCTATTTAAAAAATAATTGTAAACAAGGCAGATGGCACAATGTTCGACATCTACAACTGGTTGCCCGATGGGAAGTTGTTTTTTTTAGTAGGGGGGAAAAAGAATTCCATAAAAGAACGAAAAAATCCCCAGCCAGGCGTAATGCTGTGATTTGAAAACCCCCTGCTTAGAAAACAATTACAAACAAATCCAAATCCAAGTCCTAATACTAGTAGCATTGTTTCTACGTGTCCCATTAGTTTTATGAAACCTGCTTCTAGGGTTTTTATATCTCCCTGTAAACACAGACCACATCGATCAAAACAATTCATATCATACAACAAATTATTATTATTATTATTATCATCATTATTATTTTACAAGATGAGCGGTTGTTCAAATACGAAGGTGAAGCAGCCAAGGATGATGGCTTCTATTGATGCGTTAGCCATGGCG